TTGTTTTCAAAGTATACACTCTATTTCTGTTCTTTATTGTATGTATGTTTAATTTAACATGATCTTTAATCAATATCTTTATTTTTCTTTTAAACAATACACAGATCTTAGAATTCTTCAACATTAATCATTCCCTTTGAAGCTGTATACTTTTGTAACCCGATATTTTAATTTTATTACTTCATTAATTTCACAAATCAGGTATTTTGTTATTCTCAATAGCTGATATTTGCATCAGCTTACCCATGTGTTTCATATTTCCTCTGCTCGCTCTTTTTTTTTATGTCTCAGATTTTCTGTCTGGGATTATTTTCCTTCTGTCTTGAAGCACATGCTTTAGAAGTTCCTTTGATGAGGATTCGTGGTAGACAGACTTCTGAGGTGGCTCCCAAGGTCCCCACCCCCTTGTGTGCACATTCTCCATAATCTCCTCCTGAGTGTGCGGAGACTCCTGAACACGATGGCAGTTCACTCCTGCGATTATGTTATATATCTGGTAAAGAAGTTTGCTGATGTAATGAAAGCCAGAACCATTTGGCTCTGTGTGTGTGTGTGTGTGTGAATAAACAATATTTTTCATCTACCATAGTTTTCTTCAACTCTTTCTGTTACATCTTTCTGTGTTTGAGTTCCTCAAAGCTTTCCAAGGTTTGTGTCATTCACTAATTTATTCATTAAATAAATAAGTCATTTGCAGCAACATGGATGGACCTGGAGATCATCATTCTAAGTGAAGTAAGCCAGAAAGAGAAAGAAAAATACCATACGATATCACTCATATGTGGAGTCATAAAAAAAAAAAGAAGGACACTAATTAACTCACATACATAACAGAAAAAGACTGGCAGATATAGTAAACAATCTTAGGGTTACAGAGGTGGGGGGACGGGGGTGGGAAGGGATAAATTTGTGAGTTTTGAGATTTGCAAATGATAACCACTATATATAAAAGTGGGTAAGAAACAAATTTCTTCTGTATAGCACAGGGAACTATATTGGAATATCTTGTAATAACCATTCGTGAAAAAGAATATGAAAACAAATATATGTATATATATGCATGACTGGGACATTATGCTGTACACCAGAGACTGACACACTGTAATTGACTATACTTTAATAATTAAAAAAAAGCAGTAGTTGTAACAAAATGAAGATGAATCTGTGCCTTTGACCCACAATAAAATACCCATCAATTCTTATAAATAAATAAATAAATAAATGTATGTGTTTGTGGCATGTCAGCTGATCAAGACATTGTTCTATATGTTACTGTCCTACAATGATGGATAAAATAGACAAGTATCCATGAAGTCACGGTGTACATTCTAGCGGAGTGAGAGACATACTAAACACAAATATGTCATAAAATTCCATAGGTGTGAGTGCTATGGACACAAAAGAAGCTAGAAAGGAAACAGGGAGTGCCATGATGAGGGGCTGGGGTTGAAATTTTAAATAGGTTGACCAGGTAAAGACACAAGAAACCAGTTGGCTTTGAGTTAATCAAAGGGAAGGGTATTTCGGGTGGACCGGACCTAATCAGGTGAGCCCTTTAAAAGCGTTCAGGCTTTCTCAGAAGTCAGTCTCCTGTTTACCTTGAAGAAGCACACTGCCCTGTTGTGGAGCAGGCCACGTGGCGTCTAGTAGTTGAGGCTTCAGTTCTGCGGTTGCAAGAAGAATTTTGTCAATAACCAGTGAGCCTGGAAGAGGACTAAGAGCCCAGATGAGATTGCAGCCCTGAACGACACCTGGATTTCAGCCTGGTAAGATCCTGAGCAGAGGACCCAGCTAACCTGTACCCAGACTCCTGACCCATAGAAACCGTGAGACAGTGCATGTTTTCTTTTAAGCCACTGAGTTTGTAGCCATTCTTTATCTAGAAACAGGTCACAAATACAGGATCTAGTAATAGCAAACTTCTTCAGTTTTGTTTGAAAATGTCTTTATTTCACCCTTATGTTTTAAGAATCATTTCACTGGCTAAAGTTGACAGTTATTGTCTCTTATTCTGTTGAAAATAGTATTTTTTGTCTCTGGCTTTCATTGTTTCTGTTGAGAAATCAGATACTAATCTAACAGTTACTTTGTGGGTAATCTGCTCTCTTGTTCCTTCTCTATACTGTAAATCCCTTTTTCTGTTTTTAAAAATAAGTGAAACATATTCATTTTATGTACTGTAACAACATTCCACTATCAGTCATCTTTGCAGGTTTGAATAGTTTATGGCGGCTTATTTCTTTGTGTGTTTAGTGACTTTGTGCCCTCATGGTGCTTGGAGGTGTAGCTCTAGGAATGATTAGATTCCTAGGATTAAGCTACTTTCCCCAGAGGAGTTTACATTTACTTTGGCCAGGTTTCCAGGAGTGCTGTACTGACTTGGACCACCTTAACTTACATTTTTGTCTTGGAATTTTGGGGCCACTCACATGGTATACATTATGCCCCCAAATTTGTGTGAGTACAAACTTATTATTTTGAATTGTAAGTGAGGATTCCCCCCTCCCCCCTCCACACCCAGAATTAAGGATGAGGAGGGCTTCTATCCTTACTGTTCCCCTCTGCAGGGCCCTTTTTCTGTCTGAAGTTCACTTTATGTACATTGCATGTACACTGCAGCATTCATGTACATTGCAGCATTGTTTGCAATAGCAAAAGACTAGAAATAAAGTATCCCACTTGAAAAGGCTGGTTAATTGTGTGTATCCATGCAGCAGAGTACCCCGCAGCTGAAAAACTGAATGAGGAAGATCTCTGTTTACTGATTTAGAAAGAGCTCCAGGATATATTGTTAAGTGAACGAATGTAAGATACAGCTGTACACAGTATGCTTCCTTTGGCATAAGAAATGGGAGGAGTAATAGGCAGAACACTCTTGGACACAAATCACAGCAATATATTTTCTGAACTAGCTCCTAGAGTAATGGAAATAAAAGCCAAAATACGCAAATGGGATTTAATTTAAATTAAAAGCTTTTGCACAGCTAAGGATACCATCAGCAAAACGAAAAGACAACCTACAGTATGGGAGAACATATTCGCAAATATTGTGCAAATGATGTGACTGACAAGGGACTAATTTCCAAAACATACAAACAGCTTATACACCTTAATATATTTTAAAAAAACAACAACAAGCAACCCAATCAAAAAATGGACAGATGACCTAAATAGACATTTCTCCAAAGAAAACATAGAGATGGCCAACAAGCACATGAAAAGTTGCTCAACATCACTAATTGTTCGAGAAATGCAAATCAAAACTACAATATCATCTCACACCAGGCAGAATGTCCATAATTAAAAAGTCCATGAACGATAAATGCTGGAGAGGGTGTGGAAGAAAAAGGAACCCTCCTACATTGTTGGTGGGAGTAGAAATTGGTGCAGCCTTATGGAGAACCATATGGAGGTTCCTTCAAAAACTAAAATAGACTTACCATATGACCCAGCAATCCCACTCCTGGGCATATATCCAGAGAAAAATATAATTCAGAAAGACATATGCACCCCAATGTCCACAGCAGCACTATTTACAACAGCCAAGACATGGAAACAACCCAAATGACCATCGGCAGATGATTGGATAAAGATGTGATATACATATACAATGGAATACTACTCAGCCATAAAAAAGAGTAAAATAATGCTGTTTGCAGCAACATGGATGGGCCTTGAGATTGTCATTCTAAATCAAGTAAGTCAGAAAGAGAAAGAAAAATGACATATGATATTGCTTATATGTGGAATCTAAAAAAAACCCCACAAATATATTCAAAGTACTGAAAGAAAAAAATATATACAAGAATACTCTACCCAGCAAAGTTATACCTCAGTAATGAAGGAGAGATAAAAACTTTCCCAGACAAACAATACCTGAGGAAAGTCATCACCAAAGCATAGAGAATTTTCTTGGTTTTGTATAAATATTAAAATCCAAGCAGGAGTATTTAAGAATTTCTGGGGTACAGACAGTGATGACATGGAGTCAGCATGCACCAGCTCAAAAGAACATTGTTAAATTTTCAGAAATTTTGCAAGCTAGTTTTTAAAAATACACATTTCAAAAAATAAATTATATAAACTTAAAAAAAATTTCTTCTTTAGCTAAAGTTTTTCTACAGACAAAAGGCAGGTCAAGGACATGGGGATGGAGGGGGAGTTCTGTCCTGGGAAGGTCCCACAGGGTCTTGCTCCATTTCAAAAGGACTTATCCAAAATACATAAAGAACTTGTACAAATCACAAAGAAAATAACAGAAAATCAAGTTTTTTAATGAGCAGAAGATTTGAAGAGGCACCTCACAGTAGAAGATACTCTGAAACGACAAATTAACTTCTGGAAGCCAAAATGGGAAACCACTGCAGACATAAGAATGACTAAAATTAAAAAGACTTAAAATTTAAAAAAAAGAAGAAATGGGGGAGTAAGACTATATATTAATATTTGCCAAACAAGAAACCAATATCAAAGGTTACGTGCAGTGTGCAAGGAAGAAGGAATGGATGGGAAGAGGGGTGAAGAGAGGTTTCTCAGTGCACAGTCTTCACGCTGTTTTGATTTTTGAATCACGCCAATGCATTTTCTATTGAGAGTAAGAACAAGACATATTTAGAAGATGAAATGGGGACAAAAGGGGCAGTGGTGGAGAGGTTGCCCAGTTCCCCCTTTCTACCATTAACTCCCCACCTCCATCCCACCAACAACTTCATGGATCTCTCAGGTTGTGTTTCAATCTGAGGTTAACTGGGATAAACCTAACCTTCCAATAGCTCTCTCTCTTTACATTGATTCACTTAATATTCCTAAAAACCTAATCATGTAGACTGTATCACTAACATCCTCCTTTTACAAAAAGGCAGAGGCTGTGAGAGGTAAAGTCACCGACTTAAGATCTCATCCAGCCAGTAAATGGAATTCCAACCCATTGTTTTATCAAATCCTGGCTCTCCCAATATCCTTGTACAAATATCTTTGAACACTTGTTCTATTCTTTTTTTCATCTCTTT